CAGGAATGTGATTATTTTGTAACGAACGATTGAATTTACCAATTAAAATTTTTCACGTGACTAAATTAACCGGTTAATAAAGTTAACCGATTAACCGGTTAACCGTTTCTAAAATTAACCAGTTAACTGGTTAACTCTTATTTTTAATGGTTAATTAACCGGTTAAAGAATTTTTGCATGGTGCCAACCTCTACAGACAAATAACTAGATCATTTGGGGTTTTATAGAAAACTTTAATATTTACATTTTAATTAGCATTAAAATTGATTAATTAAACACGATGAATTTCAAAACTGCGGAACGATACACACACAGCTTTGCCTACATGGAAAAAAAGACAGGAGAGTTGACTCATTTAACGTGATACACAACACATGCTTAAAAAATTAGAGTCTGGTACACATTGTCCAACAAATCAAAATATTCATAAATTGTTTGCTGCTTCATCAGTTTTTTATTTTCAACAGAAAACTGATGATACATATATTAATTTTTTAACACCTTATGAAACTGCTGAAATCAAGTCATTTGTCAACTCACATTTTGAGCATATTGGAATTTCAGATGGTATCAAGTTGTTTGTAGAGGAAAACAAAAAGGTTTGAAATTATAATTATATTATTTTTTTTTCCACAAATATTTATCTGTAGAAATTTCAACAGGATGCTCTTGAATAACTTGAAAAATATATCAAGGAATATTCAATAAGTCAAAATGGATGTACAAAATAAAACTTTTTTTAGATTACTTGAAGAGTATGTGCTGTGGAATTCCTTAATTGATATGAAAAAGTTAAATGAAGCAATTTATATTGTGGATTACTTGGAACCTATTTTTAACAAAACCATTCATTATTTCAATTATGTTACTACTCATTCATGGTATGATATATTGATTTTTATATATTTTTCAGTTAATTTTCAAAAAAAAAAAGGTTCATTATGATTCGTTTTTTGTAGGATTGGTGCAGAATCTAAAGCATCTAATTTACATAAAAGTCCTGCTGATGGTAAAAAACTTTTTATAAATTTTGACCCCTAAAATTTTGGTAATACCCAATGTTCACTTTGTCTGGTTTTGTTGCAGCATGCCCCATTTAATATGTACGCGTAATGATAATATACTTTTTTTTAACTTTTTTTTTTCTTAATATTAAAAATGTCACAACCGAAAAAAAGAAAATACCCTTTGAGAAATTCATCAATCAAGAAATCCAAAAATATGTTGAATGAATCAACTAAAGTTAACGCTAATCACAATATTACTACTAAACCTACATTAGTTCAAGAAATTATAAGTAAAATTAGCCAATCTAATAATAATAGGAAAAACAACGTATCTAATGTCAGTGGTTCCTTTTCACCCATCAATATATATGACAGCATTGAGCTTGGAAAAGTGTTAGTTCACAATGAAAGTAATAACATTAGCAATAATAGCTTCATTAAGATTAGTGAAGATAATAATAATGATAATGATGGTTGTATTTATTTTTATTTATTTTATTTTTTATTATTACTTATTTCTTGACACAAATTAATAATGGTGGCCAAAACTATTGGAGAAAGGCAAAACTGGCTTTAAAAAGGCTACGGCCACTATCTTTAATGCAAATATTAATTGAATCATTCATTATTATTATCTATATTATCTATATAGAATTAAAACAATCAATTAATAATTTAACAAAAATGATATCTTCTACTTATGCTGAAATAATAAATTTAAAGAAGGAAAATAAAGAAACTAGAATTAATCTTGGTGGGAGGTAATTATCGTGTATGGATTTGTGCATTTTATTTATGATAATGTTTGATATTTTATATAATTTGCAGAGTCCTATAAATCTTGCTATCAAACAATTTATGAAAAATAAAATTTACCCGACTGAAGATGAATTAATGGATGCATCTAGAGATGCACTAAAAGCACATAATTCTGAACGTTTAAAAAATGAAAAATGGATGCCTCTATGGCTTGAAAAAATATCTTCGCATGTAAGTTAAAATAAACTATTTCTTTGCTTGCTCTAATTCATCAAAATAAAATAACTAATTTATTTAGGCACATGGTCAAGCAAGGAAATTAAGAGGGCAATATTCTTCTCTAATAAAAGACAGCCTATTTAAAGTTTTTAAAGAGTGTGGTATAACACCAGTGAATACCAATACATCTATAAAAGATGTGGATACTTGGAAAAAATCGGACATAGTAAGGTGGTGTTATCAAATTATCGATAGTAAGAAAACCGAATATGATGTAACAGATGATGAAACTTATTTCGAAACAATTTTAAGAAAAGTCTGGAAAAAGCAAGAAATTACTAGTGAAAAGGTTGCAGTGTGTATTTGTGTTTTAGATGAACACCGTGATGGTGTAAAAGCGGATGATAAATTTATCAGAAAAAAAATGGATGAAATATTGGTAAGATTTGAATGTAATTTTATCAAAAAATAATGGCGATTTTGGATCAATTTCTAATTTTATAAATTAAATTTAGTGTCCTGATGAAAATGATTTTGATATTGAACAATATTAGACAATTCATAATTGTATTTATTGGATAATATTAATAATAAATATATATTGCTTTTGCACATTAATTAATGATACTATTTGTTTATAATATATTTATGTCAAAGTAAATTTTTGTAATTTTAATATGTACATTATACATAAAGTTTTTTCAATTTATTACGTATACGTAAACCTTATTGTTACGAAGGGTATTGGGGTGTGAAATGCCCTAATTAAATCAAAATTAGGTGATGTAACATAATGCCGATCAATAACAAAACTTCTTTTTTTTAAAAAATAAGAATATATGTAAAAACTATATAAATAAAAATCGTATCAGAGCCTTTAAATAAAGAGATACAGACATGAAACTAAGAGAAATTATAGTAAATAGATTAAGCTTTTAGATTACAGAGAGGTTTTTTTTTGCTAAATAAAAAAAAAATTTTTTTTATATATTCTAAAGAAATTGAAAAAAGATTGCTAATAGGAAAACTTTATAACCAAATGAGATAGGAAAAAAAGCTCTCTGTAACTTTATTATAGAAGACTTAAACAATAAAATTATAAAAAACAAAAGTTATCATGGTTTAAAATTATTCAATTTATTATTAAATTTTACCATAAAAATTTACATTGCATATGCGAAAATAATTCTGGGATGGTTGTTTTGTTTTAATAAGATTTTTTTAAAATTCCAAATTTGTATATAAAATTTTTTCAAATTCCGATAAACAGTTTCTTTTCTTATTTCAATTTTTTAAAAAACTTTATTATAAATATATAATAATGGAATTTGATAACAATAAAAATGGTGGTTGCGGTGATGGAGGTGGTAGTGGTATTATGAATAAAACAGTTAGAATTATTAGCCAAGGTAAAATCATTTATATTAATGGTCATGGTAGTGGCACTAGTTTCATTGGTAGTAATAATAATAAGTGCGGTGGTGACAGTAACTACAACAATAGCAGCAGCAGCAGCAGCAGCAGCAGCAACAATAACAACAACAACAGTAATAATAATAACAACAATAATCATAATAATCAAAGAGGGTCATTTTTTACTAGGGTTATGGTACCAAAGAAATTAAATCCAACAAGACAGAAAGCTCTTAAAGCAATCAGATCAGGAAATTATGAAGAAGCTTTAGAACATTGTGAAAAATTAATTCAGCTTCATCCCAAATCATGTACATATAGGTGTGATCGGGCTGAAGTATTTATAGGTCTTGGTAAGAAATCAAGAGCAATTGAAGATTTGGACAGAGTTCTTAATCTCAAACCAGATAAATCAAATGCTCTGTATTTACGCGGATTAACACTTTATAAGGAACATGATTATAATGATAAAAAAGGGGCAATATATGATTTGTGTAAAGCATTAAAAATTGATCCAAATGATCCATTATTGGCACTTGAATCACATAAAATTTGTATTGAATATTTTAAACAACGCGAAGATGGTCAACTTGAATTGATTAATCATATGAATGCGGGGCTTTTACTAAAACCACAAGATGTTTGGCTACTCAGTAATCGTGCTTCAATATATTATCAAAGTCAATTATTCCCAAGAGCAATTGATGATTTAAATGTTGTTTTATCAATAGAACCCAATAATATTGAAGCTTTACAATTTAGAGCCAATGTTCATAAGAAAATATCTGATTATGAAAAATCATTTGATGATATCAGTAAAGCTATACAACTCTCACCTGAAACCCCTTCACTTTTATTAAAAAGAGCAAAATTGTTTAAATTAAAAAAAGAATTTGAAAAATCATTGAATGATTTAGAACAATTAAGTAATCTATTATCAAATCCTAAATCTACCATTGCTGCATCTCTATTTAGTAATCGTGGTCAAGTATATCAAGGATTATTTAGATATAAAGAGGCATCAAATGATTATACAAGAGCATTAAATTTGAAACCCAAATCATCAACATATAGAAGACGTGCAGAAATTTATCAGATTTTACGACAATACCAAGATGCATTAGAAGATGCTAAATCTGCAATGAAAATTGATAAGGATGATATTAAAGCTGCCACACTTATCAACCAACTCTATACACAATTAAATAGGCATGATGAGGCATTAAATTTATTGGATAATTCATTAAGTAAATCTCCAAATGATGTTATAAAGTTATCTGAAAGAGGAACAGTCTATAAAGCTTTGAAAAGGTATGATGAGGCATTGAATGATTTGAATAAAGCATTATCAATTGATGCAAAAAATATTCCCACGTATCTTTCTAGAGCCAAAATTTACAGAGAACAAAAAGACTATGCTAAATCATTGTCAGATATAACATCAGCCATTAAACTGGATTTGAAAAATTCCAAACTGATAAGAAATCGTGGGAAAATATATACATTAAGTGAAAAATATGATGAAGCAATGCTAGATTTAGATAAATCAATCTCAACTGAGCCAAATAATCCTTCAGGTTATAGATACCGAGGCAAAGCTTTTTCAAAAATAAACAAGTATGAAGAAGCAATGAAAGATTTTGATAAGGTGATGAAATTGAAACCAAATGATCCAAATGCTCTACATGATAGAAGCGAAACATTATATAAGATGAATAAATTTAATGAAGCTTTAAGTGACATCAATAAATCTTTGGAATTAGATGAGAATACAAATTCATATGAATTAAGAGCTTCAATTTATGAGAAACTTGGTGATCATAAGAATGTTATATTGGATTTAAGTAAAGTGTTTGAAGTAAATCCTAAAGATAAAGGTGTATTGTTTCGTAGAGCAAAAATTTATGAGTCACAAGGACAATATTATGATGCATTAAATGATTGGAGCCAATTGGTAAAATTAGAATCCAAGAATTTGGAATATTTGAAGGATCGGGCTAGATTGTTATTGACATTATGTAGATATGAAATCTTAAAACTTCAACCAGGAAATCAAATTATCATTTGCAAAAGGTTGGAAATTTATCAATATTTTAATAAGACAGATGAAGCAATTGAAGAATTGACAAAACTAATTGATAGCACAATAGATA